TCAAACCTCTCGTTCATCCAAGAACTCCTGGCTCACGTAGATGTTCCCCGTGGCGTAGAGGTGGTCCAGCGCAATCCAGAGAAGGCACTCATTGGAGCCCGGGAGTTGCAGCGTTAGGCGTTGCCAAGAGTGTGTCCGCTGCATGGCGCTTTGCTTGAGATTGGCGATTGCTGACATTGCTTTCAACGGCTCGTCTGGAGCCTGTGGAAAGTCGAGATACAAGGCTCCAGCTTCTTCGCTGCTTCAAGCAGGCTTGAAAGCTCTCCGCCGGCTGCTGTCGTTCGGCATGGAAGGCCTCAGCTTCACATGCCCGTTGATGTGCGATAGATTGCCCGTCGCATGCTGGGTTCAGGGTTGAGGGGTACATAGGGCTTGGGGTTTGGAGCTTTCAGGGGCTTCAGGGTCTATCACGAAGGCAGCCTGCGTGTGAGCAACTCTCTCTCTCTCTCTCTCAGATTAGGGTCCCTTTTCCTTGGTAGCCCCATAACCATCTTATAGTAAGGGCACCCTTTTTTGGTTGGTTACTTTAGAGGGGAACCTTGAACAAATAAGGGAACCTTGAACCCCAAAGAAGGGGTAAAGGGCACCACTGGGCTACCAAGTTTGTTGGGCGAATTTCGAGAACTACCCACATGCATCTGGGCCTTCGATGCCGACACAAGTGCGACGGACAATGCAGTCGTCCAGCTAGGGTTCCTATAGACCCAAGGGTAAAAACCCTAAACCCTAAACCCTGAACCCGAAACCCTAAACCCTCAACCCTGAACCCTAAACCCTAAACCGGCAAGCAATCCTCAGACTCCCCTGAACTCGGATGTTCTCAGCAGCAAAGCCTCCACCATGCCCCTAAACCTAAACCCTAAACCCTAAACCCTGAACCTGAACCCTAAGCCCCTAAACCCCTAACCCTAAACCCTAAACCCGAAACCCGAAACCCTACCCCCTAAACCCTAAACCCTAAACCCTAAACCCTAAACCCTAAACCCTAAACCCTAAACCCTAAACCCTAAACCCATGGCCTCGAGGGCCGCCTGCACCAGGCGCTCGCTCTGGGAGTCCAATGCGCTGGTCGCCTGTAGGGTTTAGGGTTTAGGGTTTAGGGTTTAGGGTTTAGGGTTTAGGGTTTAGGGTTTAGGGTTTTAGGGTTTAGGGTTTAGGGTTTAGGGTTTAGGGTTTAGGGTTTTAGGGTTTAGGGTTCAGGGTTCAGGGTTCAGGGTTCAGGGTTCAGGGTTTAGTAGGGTCTGAGGGGTTTTAGGGGTCTAGGGTTTAGGGGTTAAGTTCAGGGGTTTTGCAGGTTTAGGGTTTTAGGGGTTAAGTTTAGGGGTTTGGGGGGGTTGGGTTTTAGGGGTTTGAGGTTTTAGGGGCTTAGCGTTATAGGGCTTTTGGGTTCCTTGGGTTCAGGGTGTAGTTTTTTGTTCTTTGGGGTGTCGTGGTTCTGGGGTTTAGGTTTTCTTTAAGGTTGTTTTGGCTTTGGCGGATTTGGGGGTTTAGGGTTTTTGGGTTTGGGGGTTTGGGGTTTTAGGGTGTTAGGGTTAAGCTTTGGGTTTTAGGGTTAGTGTTTCGGTTGAGGGTTTGACCCTGAAGCCCTGAAGACTTGAAACCCCTGGTAGTCGAAAGCCCCACCCTCGAAACCGACCGTCTGCCCCTAGCATTTCAACTCCAACTCCTGAACCCGAACCCCTAAACCCGAAACCCTAAACTCGAAACCCTAAACCCTAAACCCTAAACCCTAAACCCTGAACCCTAAACCCTGAACCCTGAACCCTGAACCACAGCCCGCCCCAACCCTGCCACACCCCCACAACCCCCCGACCTTTTGGCTGTGAGCACGAGGTGCTCAAGACGTGAAGCCCTACAACAGAAGAAGAAAGAACTTCCTGGGATTTTCCTGAAAACCCTCTGATGAGAAAAAAACGATTCCTGAGTATAATCCTCTGAAACCCCAATGCGGGAAAACCCTACCTACACCCTAAACCCTAAACCCTAAACCTTAAACCCTAAACCCTGCCTAGGATAAGGCTTCGAAGCCCCAAAGCCCTCAAGTCCCTCCGCACGCACCTCATCCAGCAGCCTTGGGCACGAGGGCTTGCGGGTTTAAGGGGTTTAGGGTTTAGGGTTTAGGGTTTAGGGTTTAGGGTTTCGGGTTTAGGGTTTAGGGTTTAGGGGTTCAGGTTCAGGAGTTGGAGGGTTGAGGGACGGCCGCAGGGTGGAGGGTTGAGGGGCTCAGGGTGAAGGGCTAAAGCGGTGAAGGGAAAGCCAAAAAGGGCGTCGGGTTCAGGGTTTAGGGTTTAGGGTTTAGGGTTTAGGGTTTAGGGTTTAGGGTTTAGGGTTTAGGGTTTAGGGTTTAGGGTTTAGGGTTTAGGGTTTAGGGTTTAGGGTTTAGGGTTTTTACAATGGGTCTGGGGTTCTGAGGTTCAGGCTTTGGGGGCTCATGAGAGGCACTATAAGGGCTATGGAAGGCATCAGGAGTATGGAAGGGCTCTATGGGAAACCACCCGAG